TTATGTTTTATATATATATGTTCTTGGGCTAGCTTTCTATTTAGATACTATCGCCATTTTTTTTAATCTTCAATTAATTAGATAAATAAAAAAGATATTCCTTTGTCATTTAGTTTCTATAATTTTATCAATGAATTGGCTTTTATCGAGGCAAGCTGTAGATTGATATAAGAAGTGGAATAAGAAGATAATTAGGTGATGTAATAAAAGATCCCTTAATGGTTACTAATCAGTAGCTTGCTATTACTGAAGTTGACGTCAAGTTACACCTCACAATCTAAGTTCAAATTTGATCTTATTGATGGTTCTCTGTTATTGTTTGATTGTAAATTATAATCTCTTTTATATGTGGTTTGAGACTGGTAAAATTTTTAAAGCTCGAGAGTGTCTTTGTGAACTTTGGCCTGTTTGATATTATGCCATTGGTTGAGGGTAAGACGATATGTTCAAGTCCCAGCGCACCATGAGGGTAACACTTCAGATTGGAGTCCTGATGCATCATGATTGTAAGAGTTGAGTTCGAGTCCCAACTTATTATAGCCTAACATATCTTTATAGGGGTAAGACATTGGGTATGAGTCACAATGCACCATATTGATGATATAATGATGGCTAAGAAAAAATAATATATTTTTTAATAAATAGCATAAAACGTGTCCCAATTAATTTGTTCCATTCTTGAAGTGAATGCGATAGTGATACATAATAAGTCTAAATGAAGACAAGTGGTTGACTAATGAACGCGGGAGTGCCAAAGACCAAAATAATAATAGTCATCATTCTGGTAATTATAAAATGGAGAACAATAAAAGTTCTCATAAAATAATCCTTCATAAGGTGAAGGAAATATTTGCCATTAATGTGGTCTGTAAATATAAGGCACATTCAGATGATTATGGTCCATTCTTTGAAAATATGACTTGTGATAAGCATTGTAAATGCAGATCCATTCCTGAAAGTGAATGTGAAAAAATATATATGTGATACAAATTATGCATAAGAATGTATTTATGCAAGGATGAATAAATATTACAACTCACCTCTACGGGAGGTTTGAGAGAAAGAAAGATAATGAGCATTACTGTTTGGTTACATGAATATGTCATTGGTCGCGTACATGTGGTACACCAAAAATATTTTGCCATGTCTTATAAAAAGTTATTAAAGGCAAAATTAAAGCAATAAATAATTTTGCTTATGATGATTTTGACCATGACAATTATTATGATATGATTTTCTCCGTGAAGGAGATATTCACCATATGGATGGTGTGACAAAAGATCTTGTAGTACAAAATCAAATAAGAGCTCCAGAAGAGCTAATTTGTTACTACGCGGATATGTGAAATTGTTCGTGATATTAATATTGTAGTAAGTCTCAAAAGAAACTTTTTGAGTTTCAAATTTATTAGCCAAAGTGGTTGACATATTGAGACTATAACTGAAAGGAAGATTGAATGTCTTCATATTTCTATAATCATACCGGGTAAATATGAAAGGTTACCTGATTTTCTTTCTATCTGTACTACACAAGTATAAGCATGATGATGGAATAATATGCCACAAGTAAACTAGAGGTTTATTGAAATAAATATTAGTTGACATGACCGGTTGACCATCCCGATTCAATTATAATGCGAAAAATTGATTGAGAATTCACATTGGCATATATTGAAGAAATAGAAGATTCTTCAAGAATTCTCTTGTGCTACTTATTCTCGTGATATACCAGTTACGTTTGGGATTAAATCCCTTGATTTCTGGAGCAAATAAAAGGTGATAAATATATGGGCCCAGTCACCTACCATATAGACCTTTTATTATTATATGATTTTAATAGATGCATCTATTCTATGGTCACATGTGGATTTGTTCAACTTACAGTTTTACTTTTGCAAGGTTACTTGCTCAAATTATTAGAGTAAAGTTCTAGAATATAAATTATGATGATTTATCTTGATAATATTGGTTTAAATCCAAGTTGGTTTAGCAGAAATTGTATGCCTCCAATTATAGCTAAACCACTGGTTATGAGAACAAAACTTCCAAAACGAAATTTGGTGTGAGATGTATTATTTAATATACAGCAGCACTTGTATGCATCTAGCCAAGTTATGAAAATTTCTCCCTATCACAATTAGTTCAGGGTCAGGAACCAAATAATTTCCATCTAGAAATATGGATGTGCTATATGATTTAATTATGCCACCACAATGTACAAAGATGGGTTCCCAAAGAAGGTTGAGAAATGTGTTGGTGATCTCAACATTAGGGAGAGAAAATGGGCAGCTAAGAAAGTGATACATTGGAACGAATTATTATGAATACATATAGATTCTCGTACAAGAAAATATGAACTTGAAGTTCAAGTGATAATTCATTTGCAAATTATTGGTAGACGCATTTGCTGACCCAAAGCTAAATGTTATATTTCATCTGCTAATGCTCCAAATAGAATAACGTCCCTCATGGACATATTTTATGGCACTCATAAAGCGTAATAGACTAATTAGTTCCAAAGATAAAACTCCTTGAAGAAGAAGAGGAGCAAATGTTCAAGATGGTCATAATAAAGAGGCAAATGCTCTAAAAGAGCACCACGACATAACACTTCATAAGACCTCATGGGAGAGGCTCAGATACCTAAAAATAATGAGATAAAGAGATCTCAATAAATTATGTCCTTATTGAATAATAATGGAACCGATATAAAATGATCGTCGACGATCTTGTTAATATAATATAGCGCTCAATATTATTAATATTGACGAGGATTTTGAGCTCAAATATGTCATGGAATGTAGACAGATAAATGATTGGCCAAAAATAAAAAAACGCAATCAAGATTGATTTCACCTGAAAAATATGAAGTTAAACGGATAGTCTAAACACCTGAAAGTATAAAACACTGGAGGTATAAATGTGTTCTTGTGCGAAAAAAGTCAATTCGATAGACAAAAAGACGACTTGTGTCACAAGAAGATTTGTAAATATCCTGACATTGATTATATAGAGACATGTTCTCATGTGGTGGATGTAGTCATTTTAGGTTTTAATCTGGCAATACATAAAAAACTTGATATGTGTATAATGAAAATCACTGAATGATTTAAATTGTTCTGAAGTATATTAAGGTTTTCAAGAAATTTATTAAATAAAGCTTCAAAAATTCTTATACGAATTGAAACAATCAGGGCGCATGTGGTATAATCGCCTGAGTGAGTACCTGTTGAAAGAAGGGTACAAGAATGATTCAATTTGTCCTTGTGTCTTTATAAAAAGATCTGGATCTGAATTTGTTATAGTCGCCGTGTATGTTGATGATTTAAATATTATTGGAACTCCTGGGGAGCTTCCTAAAGCAATAGACTGTTTAAGAAAGAAGTTGAAATGAAAGATCTTGGAAAGATAAAATTTTGTCTTAGCCTACAAATTAAGTATATGAAGGATGAAATTTTTATCCATTAATCAACATACAATGAAAAGATTTTAAAGCGATTCTATATAGATAAAGCACATCCATTGAGTACTCCGATAGTTGTAAGATCACTCGATATAAATAAAGATCCATTCCGACCTCATGAAAATAATGAAGAGCTTCTTGATCGTGAAGTACCATATCTTAGTGCAATTGATGCACTAATGTATCTTGCTAACACTACAAGGCGTGACATAAATTTTTCAGTTAATGTCTTAGCAAGATATAGTTTTGCTCCTACAAGAAGACATTGGAATGGAATCAAACACATATTGCGGTATCTAAAAGGGACTACCGATATGGACTTATTTTATGGCTATGTGTTTATATACGGAGGCACTGCTATATTTTGGCGATCGACTAAGCAATCAATCGTGACTACTTCATCTAATCATGCTGAGATAATTATTATTCATGAAGCAAGTCGAGAATGTGTATGGTTGAGGTCTATAATATATCTTATTCGAGACAAATGTGGTTTGAAGCGTGACAAACTACCCACAATTTTGTATGAAGACAATGCAGTATGCATAGTCCAATTGAAGAGAGGATTCATAAAGGGGATATGACAAAGCAAATTTTACCAAAGTTATTTTTCACACATGATCTTCAAAAGAATGGTGATATCAATGTGCAATAGATTCGTTCAAGTAATAATATGACTGATTTGTTCACCAAATCTCTACCGAACAACCTTCAAGAAACTAGTGTACAAGATTGGGATGCGAAGGCTCAGGGATGTGAATTGATGCTCTCATTAGGGGGAGTTAATACGTGTTGTACTCTTTTTTCCTTACAAGGTTTTGTCCCACAGGGTTTTTCTTGTAAGATTTTTAACGAGACAACCAAAAGGCATATTTCTAAACATGTGTACTCTTTTTCTTTCACTGGAATTTTTTTTCCATAGGGTTTTTCCCTAATAAGGTTTTAACGAGACACATTATCTATGGACATTCAAGGGGGAGTGTTATATGAAAATTAAATTATGGTAGATGTCTACTCTTCTCCATTATCTCCATAACTCCCTATACCCTAATAATTATGGAGTTATGATTGTAACTCCATAACCTCCTCCATGATCTTCCTCTCAAATGTTTAATGACATGCTCAATGACATATTTTGCAACAGTGATTCTTCACTTTTCATGCCTATATAAAGGCCTTATAATAGATAGGAATATATATACTCAATTAAAGAAGAAAATCTCCTTCTCTCTATCTCTATTTCTTGTTCATGTTTTAATAAATTGCTTTTATTTCATAATAACATTTCTTGTTCATGTTTTAATAAATTGCTTTTATTTCATAATAACATTTCTTGTTCATGTTTTAATAAATTGCTTTTATTTCATAATAACATTTCTTGTTCATGTTTTAATAAATTGCTTTTATTTCATAATAACATTTCTTGTTCATGTTTTACTAAATTACTTTTATTTTATAACAATATCTTCTTTTTTCTATTTATTGCTATACGTACATAGTCCTATAAAGCACACCTACTAAAACTCTCTTCACTGAATGCTAAACAGTAAAGTCTTTAGCTGCAGCCTTTTTCACTCCAGAAAATCTTCCCTGACAGATTTCTTCCCCACTCCACCCTCACTTCAAAAATTCCACCAATTTCATATAGAGAGAGTGTAATTTTCAATTTCCTTACCTTTATTTTTCTCTATTTATACACAGCTTATTGACAGTGAACAGTTTTTCCTTACTGAAGAAAATCAAAGTGAAAGTTAGGAGAAATTATGCTGGACTATGAATGGGGAATTGGCGAGGAAACAACCCAAGAAACTGACCAAAACGATCAATTTTTTGACCCTTTTGTCAACCCTCATGCCCATTTTCCTCCTATATCAAACCACCCCGACCAACGACAACAACAACAACAAATACAAAATCATCAATTTCCCCAATTTCAAACAACTCCAAATAACAACCATTTTAACTCCTTGTACAACCCACACACTAATGATGTTCCCTACTCGCAAACACATCATACATCCATGCTTTCTCTACAACCAACCGGTTCAGCCGGGTTCAATATGGTTTTACCAAAAAGCGAACCCCAGTTTGTGGGTGGTATTGATTTCACTAATACCAGTAGGATTGGGTTGAATTTGGGCGGAAGAACGTATTTTGCATCGTCGGAAGACGATTTCGTGAACCGGCTTTTCCGACGGACTAGGGCGGTGGAGGGCGGTTCAGTGAACTCGCCGAAGTGCCAAGCTGACGGCTGCAACGCTGATCTCACTCATGCAAAACACTACCACAGACGACATAAAGTGTGTGAGTTTCACTCCAAAGCTGCCACTGTTATTGCCGCCGGTTTGACTCAGCGCTTCTGCCAACAATGCAGCAGGTTATATTACGTTGGAAAAAAAATATTTTTGCATCAAATCACACTATTTTATGATAATTATGTGATAAATAGAGTACTAATTAACTTTATTCTTTTTATGCAAATAAAAAATCCAGATATTTCCATGTTTTTTTCCTTTTCCACATTACAATAATCTTGTATTGTACTACTGTAACAATGAGAATGCGTCGTTCCAACTTCCACGGAGATGACGAAAATGCCCTTTGGTATGTTAACGAGCTAATGATTGGGGTTTGAGGAGTTGAAAAGACGTACGTACATGGGATTGGGAGGGGATATATCCTGAGGGCATTTATGTCCGTAAAATTATGTTCCCTCAATGAGTTTGCTACCCCGTTATGACATGTTACGTACTGTCCTATTTTTGCTTCTTATAGTAAAGACAGCATTTTCCGTTTTGGTTTAAGCATTAAAAGAAAGGATCATCAGCTTTAATCAACTCAGAGAAAAGGACATTTAGCAAGCATTTTTTTTTTAATTCCTTCTTAAATTCAATTTAATTAGTACCATTATTTCATAATTATTCTGATAAAAAAGCTGCGCCGCAGGTTCCATGTTCTGTCGGAATTCGATAATGGGAAAAGAAGTTGCCGGAAACGATTGGCAGATCACAACCGGAGAAGGAGGAAGAATCAGCAAGTAATCAACAAGAAGCAACCTCAATTTGAAAGTTAATTCAAGTAACTTTCCATCTCCTAGGGCTTTTTGGGATTTAAATAGTAATATATATTAATAACGCAAAGAGTAGGATCGCGGTAGGAAGACAGTCAACATAAAACTATAGTCAACCCATTACAAATCTCATAATACAGATATTTTTTGTTACAATGGAAATATTTTTTACCTTAATATTTATGTAGTTTAAATAACTTGTGATAGCATGTTATAAATTACATCACTTTAGTTTTACTATTGTTATGGGCCAATCATAAACATACACTTATAACTATGTAAAAAAAATTATACTTCAAAGCATAAAACTTAAACTCTTTTTTTCTTCTGTGTGGTCGTTTCTTTTTTCTCTCTAGCCAAGGGTATATTAGAAATAGTCACTCTGTCATCTTATGATAGGGCTAAGGTTACTATTCTTTCCAAACTTCATTTGTGGGAACTCAGTGGGTTTGTTGTTGTTATTGTTGTTCCTTTTTGTTAAAAACTTGTTAGGAAATTGAAAATTGGCGTTTTCTCGTTTTTGTTTTTGAATATATTTTGTTTTATTTTTTGGGGAAGAGTTTCCAGCTTGAATCAGGAGCACATTCATCAACAGTGACAGTGGCCATATCACCACCAAAAAATTCTATGGATTGTTTTAGGCAAAGAACATATCAACAAGCTGCAGCTGCTGCTGATGCAACAACTTCCTGATCAACATCAACAAGCTCACTCTTCTTCTCGAATGGGCGACCAAATTAATCTATTTTCTTTTGAGCTTCTCAAAATTTCAAGCTTGCTTTAATGGCCACAACAATCTAGTATTTTAGTACTACCATCTACAAATTACATACTTCCCCCTCCACCCTCCACCCCCACCGAAAAAAGGAAGTTTAAATATGAATTTTATGAATGATTGAAGATTAGGTTTATATATTTCTTAACCTTTGCTAGCTAGTTTATCTCTACTCTCTAGCTAGTTTATCTCTACTCTATCGGTGTAAAAGTAAGGTCTGCGTACACACTACCCTCCCCAGACCACTTGTGGGATTTTATTGGATCGTTGTTGTTGCTAGCTAGTTTTCCACCTTCATATATATTACACAAAACTTTGATTTCGTTAATCAAATTATTATAGTATAGAGAAGACCTAATCTTATTATCATATGATGTACTTAGACACTGATTAATCTTGAATAATGAAAGAAATTTAAGTTTCCCCACAATTTCCCCTCACTACGCATTTTGGCCTAATCCAAATCGTTGCTTAATTGATACTAGTTGAATATGATGGGGGGTAAGACAAATTACATTCAAACGTTTTCACGAGAAAATAGCAGTTTCTATTTTTGCTATAAGGGTTGGACATGGCAGGCAGGTGAATTCCCATTTTTCAAAATTTGCATCATTATATTTTTCTTTTGTCTGGTATTTCTTTTTCTGGAAAACCTCAGTAAAAAAAGGAGTTCCTTTTTTATACGTGTAACAGCATATTCAGAGGTTGTTCCACTTGGGATGGGTCATTATTTTATTATCTCTTAAAAGTGATTACTACTATACAATATTTTACCAAGTATAAAAATTGGTAAAAAAACAAATTAAAAATTGTGTATAATAGTGAAGCTGTTTTCTGCATGGATGCTATTTTCTATCAAGCTTTTATGCAGTGAGTGTCCCTTATATATAAAAGGATTTTTAATGATCAAATTCCACATAAAAATCTAGTATTTCATGGTTTTCTTTCATTCTCTGTTTTCCCTTTCTTTCTTGTTTTCTAATAAATGATATCTTTGCTTTTATTTGGGTGCTTTATTGTCATTAAGAAGAATACTATGATTAGACCAACTGTTGTCCATGAGTACTGGCTTTTTAGGTTTTTCTATGTATCAATCCTTTGAGCTTTCTTGTCACTGAGACGTCATTCACAGGAGTTTATGTTCTCTGTCTAAGAGGAAGATTTAGTAGGATTTGCATTCGGCATTGATCAATATTTCGTCTATTGAATTTAAAATACAGTATTTATTTAACAAAATTTCTTAACATAAATATATAAGAATTAAATTAAAATTACTGGGTTCAGCTGAATATAACTTATACTCTACATCCCTCACTACAACCTAATACAATTGACAACACTCCACAGAGCATGAAAAATCTTAGACATTAGATAGATAACTTGGATTCTACTATAAATAAAATATCCACGAAAATTCTAATGTTGAATCCTACTATATATTAAAATTATCTGGTATTCTCTTAAATTATAAGCTTAAATTCTATGGACTTGATGTGGATACTGTAAATTCTGCAATTATAAAAGCTCGTGAATTTCTACGTACGAGAAGTCAATTTGTTCAATTTAATTGGTGAATTTTCACGTGCATTTTCTTAATTTTTGTCATCAAATTAACTGTTATAGTGCAATACAATCAACCTATAAATGATTTTACTCCAAGAACCTAGCTTTCAAGTTAGATGATCTTCAAAATAGTAATAAACAAAAGCAAATAATATATAATATTATCCCTGTGCACAACTTTAGTTGATCAGAGATGCATTGAGTGAACTAACTCTTATGTTCTCTAAGATCAGGATCTAGTGTTCTGTGAAAATGTCTAACATTGTTTTGGGTGCCTGTCCATTTTAAATTGTCATATCGAAACTCTCCTACGATCAAGTTTTCAAATAGCTAAAATGTTTTTGAGAAGTTATCAGAAAATAATAATGAAAAAATGATATCTGAGGAGTAGTAGGGAATAAGGTAATTCTCGAAATAGATAAGTTTTTTTCTTCGTCTCGAAAAACATACTAGTTCATAAGAAGTTTCGATTAAGTGAAAGAATCCAAGAATGATTTGCAGAACCATATGTATATAATACTATATATATAAATTTGGCTTATAGAGTTGCTTCCTATGTATAGAGTGGAATAATTAATTAATATTTGTATTAGTTTGTCTCTTCTGTTGCATCAGAAATGAAGAAGAAGCTTCTCTAAAGAGGTTAGTTTCATGCTTTTCTTGAAAACCAAGCTAAGCCCTCTTCCGAACATTCGACGAAATTTAACAATTCCAACCTCTATCAATTACGCAACTCTTTTTCTCTGCGCATTGAGGTTGCTGGCATTTGGGATTCATCTTCATGTCCTTTTCAAATTTTATTACCAACATTTTAGCATGACTATTTTTTTTTTAATTAACCGTATATCAGGTATAAAAACGTGTAATGTGTTTCTCAAGTTGTGTCATTTCTTGTAGTTTTTCGTGTGTAGTTTGTGTTTAAGTGAAGTATTTGAAATGTGGTTAGAATGTTCAAATGGAACATGACTAAGATGAGGTGTTAAAATAAAAAATGACGCCAACTTTAAGGGGCCGCTTATGAGTCTGCCTAAAATATGGATCCGTCCGAAGACTATCTGATGATGATCCGAGTACGAGCCCATGTTATCTCACTTGCTAGCCACCTAAACAACCCAATACTCCTTTGAATGAAAATGGAAAGAAATAAAAAATACAAACCAGTGATATATCTACGATTATGATGCTAATATTAGAAAGTTATACGTACTTAATGTTCTTTTTTAAATAATTCAATATCTCTATTTTATGATTAAACGATAAGATACTTATTTCCAATCCAACATTCTTGAAATATTTACCCTCTAAGGGGAAGGAGGGTCACATCACATCTCACATATGTAGGCTGTATCTTCCAAACCCGGCCCTCAATAGGAGGCCAGTCCAGTCCTTCAATATGACTAGCCCACTTAAGGGTCCAACAAAACTCTTCTAAATGTTTGAAAATATTCAGTTTATTCAGTCTACAAAAAGCAACTTTTTTCACCTTTAACGCACGTCAAAAACTATTTATATTCGATAGCATAATATTTTTTATATATAACATATAAAAAATATATATATTTTTTCGACTATTATTTTTAGAGCGGCTATAACGTCATCTTCCCAATTATATATTCCTATCTTATAGCCGAAGGTTTTGTGAAACCACGAGGAACTCTTATGTTAGCTCAACGAGTTTCTTGATCACATTCAAATGGTGAAGAGAATATATATAT